CAATCAGGCAGTCAGACGGCTCTGCTGTGAAAGTAGACCTCTGCTTTGTTTCACAGAAGCAGACATTGAATAGGCCTTGCAATGGCAGAATGACACGCCTTGCTCGACCAAAGGAGGCCCATTAAGAAACAAAGAGGAAAAACCACAATCTAGGAACCTTCTGCTGCAACCAAAATGCTCTCTATTGTTAAATCATTTCATCAGAAGATAATCCAGGCGCAATGCTTTGAGGTCAGTAATGCAATAAATTCCTTTAAAAGCCCAAATAACAAGAAACCAACAGCAGGGCAGAAGTGAAAAGAAGTTATGGAATCCTACTCAGACTTGAAAGGCGTATTGACTTGTATCATAAGAGAGTGTAGGCCTTTACTATCACAATATGAACATCTGTGGTGTGAAATCTAAGAAACCAAGCGATTGAACTCACAGGAGCTCACACGTCTTAATGCAATGTGCAGAAATCAACCAAAGCAGTGTTTGCAGTGGGTCTAATCTGATCAACCCTGACATGTTTACCACTTCTTCACTTTTGAAACAATGGCCTTTAATCACTATCATATGGAGCCGGACCACTCATGTGGAATCGTTATATTGTTTCAGAATCGACCTGATAACTCATCCTTAACGTGGACGTAGTCAGACACACATGGAACGCATAAGTGGACGCTTTGAACGAAAGCTGAAATTTCATCCTGTAAAAATACTGATGCTCCATCGAGCTGTTAAAAGCCGAGGATGTTGGCCAGTGTGAAAACCAGTAAAAGAAGGGTTGGTCTCTAGGCAGGCACATATCCAAGGCTGTCAGAAGGAATGCTACTATGTGCAAAATTACAACAAAATACAAACCTATTTTTTTATACTGATGAAAGGTTTAAATAGTAAGCTGGTTTTATGACCACAGCACAAAAATCAGAGGGGTTTGGTTAAACTTGGTTAAAGAATATAGTTTATGATCATCCAGTGAAGATGTCTAACACATATTTGAATGGCTTTTTTTTAACAAGTGGGTAATTAAAATGATAGAACTTTTATAAAAAAACATGTCCTTGTTAAAGTAAATGCTTCAGACAAGAAGTCACAAAGAAGAACATTTGTCTCATATTTTCCAAATGTTTTCTGACTTTTTTAATTTAGGTATATTTATGTTTCTATATGTTACTTTTTTCTGTCACACAGCATGAAAATCGTTTTCATGTATACAGGTACAAGAGTCTTGAATCTTAATGATCCAGTGAGGAACTGTGAGTTTGTGTTGATTTTGGCGCCCCCTGTTGACACGGTGTGTCTTATCTCTTTGCTGATCTTCTCCTTTAAATGTGTAAGTTTTGTCATCCTGCTTTCTTTCAGCCGTCACATATATCAGTCAGTGCGTATAATATTTTCTGTGGTAAACAAAGACTGTTTCTGCAGCATGCTGTCTGACACTTATCAGTGACAGTGGTTTCAAACATACAAAGTGATGATATGGAAATAGTCAAACTTCTCACTGATGATCTGGTTTGCTTTTGTGAATCATTACGAGGCCTCATTATTCATTTAGGTGCTCTTCATAACAAATGCAAACAAAACCAAGTTCTAAAAAAAGTGATAGAGACTTCCCTTGCTGATTAAGAAAAAAGATCCCCAGAACTATTTCAGTGTCTGGCAATAAACTTCAGACTTTCTGACAATACAATCTTATAATATTGAGGGAAAAACATCAATATTAATCGTCATTATAGCTAGGATTTTTATAAACGTCCAACTCTTAAAGTGTTTTTTTTTTTTTTAGTTCATGGGTAAAGATTTGATTGCCATGCACGGCCCGGGGCTTTGAGATTTATAGAAACATGTGTTCCACGATGTTATTCACAAACATTAGAAAAAAGGTTTTCTGTCACTTATCAATTCATCATTTCACATATTGCTCTTAAAAAGTTATCATGCACTCCTCACATTTGTCCACCTGTGTTCCAGCTGATGCTTCACATCTGGCCTTTTAAACCTCAAGTTTGAATCTTTCTGCATTTGTTTCAAAGACACAGGTGAAAGCCTCCTGCCGCCTGGATCTCATTTTCATGTGCAGTGAACCGCACTCCTTTGAAAACCAAACACAGGGTTTTTAAGGGATTTTCTTCAGGCAGATATTTTACACAGTGACATGAAATGTGGTCTTTGTAGAATATATTCTGCTCTTGGTTACCTGAAAATGCATCTCTACTGGAAAGACTGTGCTCATTTATAAAATGACAGCTATAGAAATATCATGTGCTGATTTTAAAGAGGGAAAACTCTCCTTGGAACCCTTCACATGTGCCTTCTAATGGTTGTGAAATTCAACTTTCAGCCAGAGTGAGCATGCAGTGCAACATGTGATGGCAACACATGGCTGAGATTCATGAAGCAGAGCTCTCAGAAAGCTCAGATCACGATGAGTGGCTTTGATAAAAAAGATCACGGGTAGGGGTTATGCAAGTTGAATGGCAGGAATATCCATCGAGCTGAAGGAGCACCAAATGTTCTTCAGGCCACATGGTGTCATGCACGTTGAAGTCTGTCTGTCTCTGCTGCGTTAAAAAAACATCCATATGCATGTCCTTACCAAACAAGATAAAACTTGAAACAACAATAACAATCTATTGTTTAAACAAGCTACATTTGTCCGTGTGCAGACTGTCATGTGACACATTAAGACGCAGGTCACAGAAAAGTATGCAACACATTCAAATTGTGTGTTGAAGAAGCCATTAATACATTTATCTTTGTGCTTTCTGCAAAAATCCTGCAAGGTCTTGAGGGAGTCTACAATGAGTCACAGTGGTTCAAATGGATGCCTGTAGTGTCCATATGTGAAAATCATAACATCCTCTGAAGTTCTAACTCTTTATGGTTGAGGACGAGGTTCAGATTAAGACCGGGGCTCGCTCGTTGACTGGCTGCCGGCCACCCCTCTGTTGATCGCCTCGGAGCGGGCTGCGGGGCGCGAGGTCATAGTCTGAAACGCCCGGTCCAGACTAGGAGGTTGCTTTCCCAGAACAACGGGAGGAGGGAGAAGTACAGTGAAGCCCATCGGCGACACCTCCTGACCCCTACACCTGCCGAAGACATGCGTCCAGGATAAAACACCCCCATTGGTCTTTAGAGACAACTATCAACCGAAACCGACCGCTAGGCCCGGCTCAACCGGTAATGATCCTTCCAAGTTTAGAGTTATAAGCAGTGATACACATTACCAGTAATTAAATCATCTTGATTGTAGGTAGTGTATATTTACACTGATGTCTTTCTGTACCAACGCCACCTGTTGCACCTTTGTGTGTCTGTGGAGATGAAACCCTTTTCTGTTGCTCTGCTTGAGGTTTTTGGGAGTTTTGTTAAATATGTTTATCCCATTTACTTGACTTGACTTGATAAAGAGTGTAAAACTAGAGTTTGATACTACTCAGCTATGTGCACTGAGCATAACATGTCAATACAGTAAATATTGGCTGGATTGATTACTGACATATCTGTTTAGAAACAAAGTAAAAACTGTATTCAGTTGGACGTTTCTCCAAACACCACAGACCACTTTAAACTTTGACACCACCAAAGGGAATAAACATTTGTGTTTTCACCTTCTGTTTAAATGTTTCATCGTCATGATGGACTTTTCTACTCTGTAAACTCTGATATTAGCTCGCAGCGTGTGGCTCTGATATTAGAACTTCAAGCTTCTCGAGTGCAGTAGTTTGAAGTCAGCCACCTGCCTGTGCTAATTGCCGTTGTCTCATTCAGAGGAGAGGCCCTTCATTCCTGCCTGGCCTAAGGAGGACAACAGGCATTGGAATGTAAATTGTTCAAAGTCAGTGCTAAATGTATGAGCGATGAATGGAGGGAGGAACCCAGGTCAACACATTAGGTGCACTTTAATAAGCAGGGAGAGGTCAAGAGGGTCAACCCTCCCCTGAAGTGTTTATGTAAAGAAGATGTGGAGAGAGAAGAATCCAGTGTGTCATAGTGCTCCACTGTTATCCTGAAACTAATAACTAATAATTACAGCTATGCCAAAGACTCGGTGAATCCAACATAGGCACTGTCCTGTATCCAGCTACATGCTAACATCAGCATGCTTCTACTGTCAAACATCTCCGCCAAAGAGGACGAAAATTAATCAGGGCTACAGAAACATTTATGCTAACATATTGATAATGGTATGAAACTATGTAGGTGAAAACTTGATTCTGATTGGCTAAAGGTTACTTCATAGATTTGGGTTAAACTGCCTATTCCCCTTCCTAAATGAACAGGCTGGCTTTGCATCAGTGTTTGTCTTAAATAAGTAACCACAGCTAAAGGAACAAAGTCAAAGCGATCATTTAAAATTAATGAAAGTCATCACAAAATATCTTGAGACAGTTACTTCCACCTGGAAAGAGGTATCGCACCATTAAAACCAGTAATAACAGACTTACCATTATGTCCCCAAAATGTTGTTCTTTAGAAAACAAAACATGGACATACTCTTAGAAACATCAATAATTGTCTTCTTATTTGTTCCCACAAAGCTAATTCCAAACTTTTCTTTAGTCTCCATTTTTTTTTTCCCGATGAGACACCAGATCCCTGAAAAAGTCTGAATGACTTGCCAAACGACCTCCGTATATCCATGATGGTAGCACGGCTAAAGTCATCAATCTTGCACTCGATGATGCATCCTATCATTAAGATGAACAGAGGCAATATCTAGTCGTGTTTTTAGGGGACCCGACATAGATGATCCTGATGCTATTAGAGTAAATACTCACTTTGCACAAATCTGTAGTGAGTGTTGAATGATTATTTCTTACATCATTGAGACATGTGTAACTGTGTGCAGGCTAGGTTCTTACACGCAGGAGAAGCCCTTAAAGGTACACAGTTTACACTTCAAACAACGAGCTGTTGTTTCACATAACACACTCCGTCTCACAGACTGTAGTCCTAAACATCAAAGATTCTGAAGTGCAAACGTCTGCACTGGATGTGTGTTCATATCTTACCTGGGCGATGTTCTTGTTGAGTAAGTAGACTCCGTATTCAAAATGAAAGCGCTCTCCTCTGGGGTACAAAGGGAATCTGTGAAAGACAAGAGAAAAAGCAACAAGGCATTATGAAGAGGTGATTGATGCATTTAATCTAAAACCAACAGAGTCTAGAAACGAGATGAATAAACCCTTTAATGTACACCTGAAAGACGAGCATGCTACAGAGTCCATGCTGTATTTCACATTCCAGATCTGTCTGTGTGACAATGTCAATACTTATTCAGAGAACTGTTTTGGCTCTGAAAACGGGCAATAATTTCTCTCCATAATTAAAAGGGGGCCGCTCATGTAGCCAGCAGCGTTTATAGTCGCTAACACTCGCAGATGGCTGAAGAAGCTGAGTCTGGGTATGTTCTCCAATCCCACAGATGCCACCTCTGTACCTTTAAATCTGAAATATCAAACAGAAGCAGAGGCGTCCATCCACCTCTGAGCAGGAACAAAGAGAGCGTTTCCTTTCAGTGTGGTGGGAAAGTCCCAACGGGGCCAGTCAGATGTCTCAGTCTGGACTGCACAGAGAGGTTTCACTCTGTGTTTAGGGTCAGGTGGAGAGGGGTTTATGCTGACATCCAGGGTGGGAAAAACCTCTTTTGCTACCATGAAGGTAGCATGTGTGAGTAACGTAAACCTAATCCCTCTCTTAACCCCTCACTCTGAAACTCTGAAATCTTCTTCATAAGAGAAGAGAAGGTCTTCTTCTGAGAGGAGCTTTACTGCCTCAGCACACAAAATAAACAATCTGCTCTTTGAAAAAACAAAAAAAATCAAACAAACACTGTTACCAAGGCCAGGAACTGTCACAGGCCTGCACAAAGAGACGACGCAGCAAGCATGCAGTAAGACAAATAAATAGATCCCAGATTCACAAAAACAACAATCAAATGCACCGCTTCATTTCACTGAGCTGAACTGTAAGGTCTTTGTTGTGTGGTGTTTTATGTGGGGAGGCTAAAGAGCTAAGGATGGAGATATTATGCAAACATGGTGCATATGTAAATATATCCAAAAACGGCATAGAAAGATTGCAAAGTGTGTGTGCAGAGATCTGCAGATTTGAGAAAAATAAAGCTGTTTCAGGTCAAAGACTCTGTGGCTCTCAAAGATCTTCAGCTGACCTGTGCTGTCTTTGGATTGGCTTCCTGGTACTCTGTCAGTGAGGTTTACTGACAGTATGTTCACATTTTTCATCAAATGTAATATCATCATTTGACAATAAACAGAGTTCATTTTACTTTTATAGTAACCACCTTTGCTAGCCTTTTCTCTCTTTTGCAAAATAAAAGAAACTATAACCAACAGAGAATAGAAACAATATGTATAAACCCTTCAAGTGTACACTTGACAGGAGAGCATGATACAGAGTCTAAACTGTATTTCACACTACAGATCTGTCTGTGTGATAATGTCAATAATGCTTGGTTAAAAAGGGATTTTATTTCTGATTAATTTTACATTCAGGCTTTCAGATATCCAAGGACTTCTATTAAGGTCTCAAAGCCAAATCTACAAATGAACTGGTTGCAGACTGTCTGCAGACTGACCGCTGTCTTGCTGCTTCTGGACTGTGAGCCGGGTTTCAGCTCACCAGCAGACTGAAATCTTTTATCCGGTTAAACGATGTTAATAAATCCAAGATTGGAGTATGAGTCATCAGTTATCAAAATCTTGGATACATTTGTACAATATGTGATTCAGGAGTTGACATTAAGTTACATTTGCCAGGGGCTCAATGGGGCAATGTTTTTTAAAGATCAGTGGCCCCTAAAACAATAAAGCTATTGTTTGTTTCATCATTTATCTCAAAGTCTTTTTTCTCTGCTGTAGAAACTCTCCAGCCTCTTAAGTCCTACTCTCTACTCCTCACACATTGTCACCTCTAGATGTTTTGAGAATAATTTTGATCTTCACCAGTTGATTTTAACCTGGCTTTTGGTCAGGAATGGTAGCTTTTATGACCGATTTACCAAACTTTTAATGAGAGAAAACCTGCACTGCCATCAGAGTCCCGATGTACAATCCGATTGCAGAGAACGCGCTCACAGGAGTGTCAGCGGTGAAGCTGTCGTGGTCTCTTTACTGTGACACACGTGTGCACACGCTCTTATAAAACGTTACTGAAAACAAACACCAGTATCACAAGAAAGCGATTTCAAATTGAGAATGTGTTCCTGTTTTGTTTTCAGCTGGCCCGGATCTGTCAATCATGTGTCGGGGCCTGCAGGCCAGTCATAATGTGGAGCCCTGTGACTCATGGAGGCTGAAAAAGTAACTTGATAAAAAAAAAAGACAAATATGTGAGGCTTCTTATTTACCAGCCGTAGAGTGTGAGTCTGATACAGCTCTTGCTGTGAACAGTTCTATAGGACAGTGTTTTTGTTTGTTTTAAGACAGCAGTGTAAGAAGCAGCAGACGCACTGTGACCAGGGTGAACTGTACACTGTGTGCAGACATGTGTTAAATGTTCTGGAGAGTATGTGCATCCGGTCTTGTCTCTGGGTGTGAGTGCCCCCTGAGGACTGGGTCATGGTCTTGAGTTAATCCAGTGTGAGAGCAGATACGGGGCTCTTCTCTCCCTCACAGTGTGACCTATAGGTGCCTGAGGCTGAAGGAGAACATGGCAGACCAAACACTTCCTCAGTGTAGTAATAATAATATATATAATAATAATACTAATAACATTTGTTTTTAAAGCACTTAGTTAAAAAATGTTATTAAGTGCTTGACAGAATATAAAAACCCCAAACAGAAAAATACCCATCAAGGATAACCCAATAATTTAAAGTAGCAATAAAACAAGAAGACTTGGCTGTTCAAAGGCAGTGGTCTTTTAGTCCTTATATTTAAAGTGGCATTGTTATTTTAAAATATGAGTTCTTTTTAGTACTAAGAGAATTCAATTAGGGGCCACCGATGTGGAATTTTTGGGGCCGATTCAGATATCGATATTGGGCAGAGAAAAAATCTGATACCAATATATCGGCAGACATCTTTTTTAGATCTATGTTCGATCTGTAGAGATAGATATAGATATACACATTTATGTGTTGATCTTAACGCTCTTCAGGACCAGATCTCTGATGACACCCACATTTTAGCGTTTTGGCTCTGATAACCCATATTTTTTTTCAAAATGAGATCTTTCTAACTTCATTTGGGTTCAACCCATTTCTTTAAAGTTTACTTTCCTCCTTCCTGTTTCCAAGAGCGTGTATGAGGAGTTCAGACAACCATTCTGATTCAGTGTGTGAGTGTGTTTATATGTTCACAAGGATCCCCGTTCTGAGTCGTGTCCTGGTTCTGATAACATCCCGGATATGATGTTTACGTGGAGCATGGAAAACCTGGTAATTTCTATTGCTGTATACATGAATATAACAGCATCCATGTGTCTGCTGTCTGTATGGATGTGTCTCTACTGCTCAGCATCGCACACATTATGTTCTGAAACATGAACGAGTCATCAGAGTCCGGAGAGTGTTTACATGAAACTACATCCAGGTTTCTATCAGAGAACAAAGATAAGGGCTCATCCAGTTCTCTGAAACAAGTTAGTGATGTTTAAATGCACAACTCATGACACATAGATACAAGGACTGGGCAATGAAAACACCTTTTTGGAGTGTTAGGGTAAATTTGACATAGCTTATGATGATCATCTTGATACTAATTACTCGGTATAGACAGATCAAACTGCTTATAACACAGCAGGAACAGGGACAACATCCAGTTGGTCTTCAGTTTTTTGGTTTGCATGTTATTAATCATTCACAAGAAAACCTGGATGTTAACAGGCACAGTGAACAGATAGCATCTCACAGGATCAGTGTGTGTCTCTGGCAGTATTTTGACAGAGACAGTTGAGCTAACAGCTGTGACAGGATACACTGGTAAAATGGAAGGAGCAATGTGTAACCACGTTTAGTACAGCTTTGTGATGTTAACCTGCAGGGAGGACCAATGGCTATTTGTCTAGTACTGCTAACGTTGGCAAACCAAATCAATCAAGTGTAAATTTTGACTGTTTTCTTGATTTTTCTCCACTAAAGACTAGTCGGTGTTCTGAATAAATACAAAGAACAATGAAAGCTCACAAACCACTTGAGGTCCTCGAAACAAGCTTAGCTAATCTTAGCTGCATTTTGGCTCACAGACGCTAGAACCTGCTTGGGTCAGAGTTTTCAACGGTTATAATTTTCTCTACTTAAAGAAAAGGTTCAGGTTCAGGACATGTGAATAAACTATATTCTGAAGTTTAAATAATGAACTGTTTGCTCACTTCAGGTTTCTGCCATGAACAGGATGCCCTAAAATCTGCCAGCATTGTTAAATGGGATGGTATGAACTGTAAATATTCTGATCATATTTTCTGTGTTAACCCAGTCACTGAAAACACCCAGACGTGAGAGTAAACCCCTGACAGCTGGGGATCATTCCCACCCTCAAACAAATGTTATCAGGATGTTGTTAGGACTAGCGAGTAAAAATGGAGTCTCTGCAGCCAGAGGGCCACACAGCCATCAGCTCTTCAGTCATCGTGTTTTCTCGACGTGCACGAGGGTCCAGAGAGAGCGGCCTGCCAGAGGTCGTATCGCAGCGATAGGAAATAACTACCAGAGAGAGGAAGAACAACAAAACAGGCATTCCCCTCACACGGCTGGCATTCCCAATATCACTTCCCCACACGCAGATAGGATTTGTTTGCCGATGAACACGCATGAGAAGCAAAACAAAACCATGTCCAGCACACACACGCAAAACACATGAACACACACACACGGACTCCATCACAGCGGAGTGATTAATGACCGCTGTCCGCTGTGTCTGAAATCACACTGGAGAGACTCTGGTTCACCAAACACCAGGAATTCCTCCCGGGGACGTCCACTAAAGTTAAATATATTATTACACACCAGCAGGGAGGATGGAGGGAGGAAGCGGGGGGGGGGGGGAGAGTGGGGCCGTGTGTGATTAAGTTAGCACATTTGATCATTTTTTATTTAATCTAATGTGACCACCTCTGTCCCGCTGAGG